AAAGAATGAATTGTTTCCCAGTGTAGTGGATTCTTAAGCACGTTCTCCACGTATGCGACGTGCTAGCTGGCTGTCTTTTGGCATAATTGCTACACATTTGGCATGGATAGCCCACAGGTTGGTGTCTTCAAAACAGCCCAACCAGATAGGCCTTACTTGCCTCCTGCAAAGCACCAATAACTGCACTCTGGAAGCGCAGATCTGTTTTGAAGTCCTGAGCTAATTCTCGCACCAGACGCTGGAAGGGGAGTTTAGGAATCAGAAGTTCAGTGGACTTCCCATAATGTCTAATGTCAAGAAATGCCACAGTACCAGGCGTGTAACAATGCCGTTTCTTCACCCCTCCCATAGAGGGCGCACTCTTAGGAGCGGCTTTTGTAGCCAGTTGCTTCCTGGGTGCTTTCCCGTGGGTTGATTTGTGGGCTGTCTGCTTTGTACAAGCCATGGTATAGAGACCTCCTCACTTAACCTATCAGCATTAAAAAAATCCTCCTTCTCCTTCAGCTGGCGCTCCAGGAGCTAGAGGCAGCGCTGGCATTAGAAAGCAACTGCCCCTCAGTCATATTTTGAGTGCCTTCCAACCAGAGCTGCTAATATAAAGGTACTTAGACAATGTTCTAAAGTATTCATAAGGTTTTTACTGACCTTTTCTTTCTTTCTTTCTTTCTTTTTTTTACAGAAAGCTATTCAAATAGTGGCAAGCAACATTTTAATTAACTATAGGACGTACATTTGTGTGGTCACATCCTTGTCATATTTTTTAACACTTAAATTTATTCATATACTAATTGATCTATAATTCACAAGAGGTCTGTGAGTCATTAGTGCAAATTAACAAGTTGCTGCTATGTATACATGGCTTACATAGTTACATATTTTCCCTGTTTGTTTTCAAATCATTAGATTTTTAATAATTCTATAAATTGTGGTATAAATATGTAGTCACTGATCTATGCTAGGTTTATTTATTGTTTTAGTTTTAGTTTATTTATTTATATGTTTTATTGTGTATTGTGTGATAGTCTACATGGGAGAACATTAGTTTTACATTCATTCCATCATACATCGTCTCATTGCCATAGTTACCATCCCGTCCATGCATCCAAAGGGTATACCCTACCAAAGGGTATACCCTATAATCCCGCCCACTCTCCCCTCACGGTCCTCAGCACACAGTCTTTCTCACTCTCTGGATCCTTAGTCCCCAGGCACTCCATCTCTTCGCGTTACTGACCATTTTTTTCAGAAGTTAATTGCCAGGTCCTTCTTCCTAGTCTTAGTCTGGAAGCTTAATCTGTCAAGTTTGTTGTACTGTGGTGGCTTGCATGTTGCAGTGATGGTAGAAATTATTTCAAATACCGATATGGTACCCATGGTGGGCATGTTTCAGTAAAGCTTCTAGACTAAGAGAGAGGTAAAATTTACAAATAATGAGCTGCATAATCTGCAGTTACACTTGTGTAACTCCAACCTATGGAACTATAGAACATTACCATAACTCCAGAAAATTCTTCCATGCCCCTTGCCAGTCAATTTCCACCCAACCCCTCTAATTTTTTCACCATTATTAGTTTTACCATCCTAGAAATTCATATGAATGGAATCATATAGCATTGTTTTGTGTAAGGCTTCTTTTGCTCAGTGTTTTTTAAAGATTCATTCATGTTCTTATATCAATAGTTAATTTTTATTGTTTAATTATTTTCTACTGAATGACTATACATTTTTAAAAAATGGATATCTTGACTATTTCCAGTTTGTGTGTAAAAATCCTCACCACTGGACCAACAAATAACATCATGATATAGAAAAAATTGAAGTTGACAAGACTTCATTTTACTTGGATCATCCATCAACACCCATGAAAACAGCAGGCAAGAAATCAAAGGCATTATTGCATTAGACAAAGCTGCTGCACAAGACCTCTTTAACGTGTTCAAGGGCAAAGATGTCAGTTTGAGGATGAAGGTGGACCTGAATCAAGCCATGGTATTTCCATAGCCTCATATGCATGTGAAAGTTTGACAATTAATAAGGAAGACCTTAGAATAATTGTTGCATTTGAATTATGGTGTTGGAGACTATTTAAGGTACTATGGACTGCCAGAAGAATAAACCAGTATGTGTTGGAAGTACAGACAGAATGCTCCATAGAAGCCAAGATGACTAGACTTTGTTTCTCATACTTTGGGCATATTATCAAGGGGGCCAGTCCTGGAAAAGGTCATCATGCTAGGGAAAGTGAAGGGACAGTGAAATATAGGGAGACCCCAGTGAGATGGATTGGCACAATGGCAGCAACAATGGGCTCAAGTGTAACAACAATTGTGAAGATGGTACAGAACTGGGTGGTGTTTTGTTCTGTTGTACATAGGTTTGCTATGGGTAGGAACTGATTCGACTGTACCTAACAACAACAAAATGAATAAAGATGCTATGAACAGTTTTTGGGTGGAAACATTATTTCTAATGATTATATGGGAATCTTGGTGTGGAGCCATAGGAATAAGCAATTGCCTTCAAGGTCGGTTTGAACTGCAAGGTCAGTGGCTCAAACTCACCAGTTTCCACTCCTTGGAAACCATATACACTAGGGTCACTGAGTTGGAACTAACTTGATGGCACTTAACAACAAAATGACTATATTTTTCAATGTATTTTTAATTGCTTATTATGCACCAGTCACTTCTAGGTACTAGAAACATAGCCATAAATAAGATAAAGATGTGGTGGTGGTAGTGTTCCATGGAGTTGGTTCTGACTCATAGCAATTCTGTAGAGGGTTTCCGAGGCTGTAAATCTTTACGGGAGCAGAAAGCCTCATCTTTCTCTCGAGGAATGGCTGGTAGTTTTGAACTGCCGACCTTGAGGGTAGTAGCCCAACTCGTAAACACTATGCTACCAGACAAAGATGTAGCAGTTTTCAATAAGCTTATATTTGCACATGTGTGTTTGTGTGGTGTGGCAGAGTAACAGATATTAAAGAAAAATATCTGATACTTCTAATAGCTGGTCAGAGAATAAAAACAAGGTGATGTGAGTGATCTGGTGACTATTTTACTCAGGTCACTCAGCAAATACCTCTGTGAGGACGTGTCTTTTGAGGTGTGAACAGGAGACACCAACAGTAATAGATCAAGGGAAGACCATTCTAGAGAAAGCATGTGGTATAATGGAATCAAGGCTCTTCTTTAGAATGTTGTTGTTAAGCGCTGTTTAAACGACCTTTTGGTCCACAACAAAAAATGCCAGTGTGGTTAGAGCTTAGTGAAGATACCTTAAAAAGTAATCTCAGTAGTAAAGGAATTGAGAGTATAAAGCTTAACTCCTTTTGATTATGAACAAGGATATTTCTTACCATGCTTTATGAGAAATTGTTCTATTGTGAATTACTTGGGTATTGTTGTTGTTGTTAAGTGCCGTTGAGTCTGTTCCGACCCATAGCGACCCTGTATAGGGTTTCTGAGGAGCAGCTGGTAAGCTTGAACTGCCGACCTTGCAGTTAAAAGGCTTTGCAGTTTGGCGCATTAACCCACTGCGCCATACCAGGACTCCTACTTGTGTATAATTTTTCTACTTCTTTTTCTTACTGAATTATGTGTCTCCTCTGGTAGTGTAGTGGTTACGAGTTGGGTTGCTAACCGCAAGGTCATCAGTTAGAAACTACTAGCTGTTTCGTGTTAGAAAGATGAGGCTTTCTGCTCCCGTAAATATTTACAGCCTTGGGAACCCTATAGAGTCAATATGCGTTGGAACCTACTAGATAGCAGTACTAACCAGGATAACTTTCAGGAGAATGAAGCCTGTGTTAAAATTACCAGAGTGCTTGGCATAAGCGGGCACTTAATACATGCATATTAAAATGAGTGTGGTGCTGTAGGATAAGCACTGGACTGCTGATAATAAGTTTGGCGGTTCAAACCCACCAGCGGCTCCTTGGAAACCCTATATATGATCACTATGAGTCAGACCATATCCGACAGCACTTAGATATTTGAATGAATAAGCAGTAAATGTTTGACTATTTTATCCTCCGCATTTCTCTTGAATGGCGTCTTTGTGTGGCGTGGTAGGAAAAGCACTGGACTGCTTACCAGAAGGTATGAGAACACTAGAACAGGGTGCTATGAGTTGAAATGGATTCCACAACACTTAGCAGTTCTTTTAATACCTTCATTCGTTTTAGGATTTACTCTCCCTTTTTATTCTGACATTTTATGGCAAGCAAGGTTGTTGTAGTTAAATGCTGTTGAGTCGGTTCCGACCCCTAGTGACATTGCATAGGATATTTCCGAAGAGCGACTTGTGAGCTTGAACCCCCGACCCTGCGGTTCCAACCGACTTTGCAGTCCAGCACATTAGACCGCAGCGTCACACCAGGACTCCAAGGCAAAGTTAGTTCAAGGCAACTTTTTACTCCGTTTTAGAAGATGATATGGCAGAATTAGGGAAACTCCGTGAAATTTTAAATACTTCGTTCCTCTCTTATTGAACCATCAGATGTAACGTCTTTCAAAGAAGCAACTCGGAAGACAACAACTCATACACCCACACTTACATTTAACCTCGCAGTTACGGCCGAGAGGGGAAACTCCTAGGTGCCTATAGACAAGGACTTCCGGCGCGAGACGCTCGCAGCGCCCATTCATAAGCGTCAGCGACGTTAAATTTATGTGCTTAAATCACTTCCCATAATGCCACGTTCCGGAAGTTGTTGCTTTCTAAGGGTCACTCATGTTTCAGGTTCTGTCGCTTTTCAATCGTCACCGGGAGGAAGACAGAGCTGCCTGCCCAACCTCAAAGCTTCCTAGGGGATGCAGTTATGGACGTTATCGCTGTGGGTGAGTTCTGGCCCCATTGCCTGGCAGTCAGTACTCACACCGACTGCCTGCGCTTCGAAGCACCCGAATTTTCTATTCGGACCTCGTAGTGTTTTCGGTGTCCTGTGTTCCTTGAACTGATGACTTGGCTCCTGCCCGGCCCCTCGTTCTTATAGGCTGTATAATCTGTCGGTTCTGGGACATGGCCAATCAGCTGCTGGTGCTGGCGCTTTTGACCCGTGTACCCTGAGGTTCTCCCGTGAGTGCAGAGCAGTTGGAAAGGAATGGGAGGTGTGGCAGGTGCCGAACCAGTGCGTGGGTGGTGCCCCCAAAGGTTGGGTCTGGGTTTACAGCAGCGTCCACGTGGTGATTAATAGGAAACTGTCTGTCATCTACCCGACGTAATGCTTCTAGGGGAGGACCGAACTACCCTAAACTTGAAATTCTCGTCTAAGATTTGTTGATCTTCCCACACTTTTGTCATTTTAATGGAACTGAGTTGGCAGGGGAAGACTGGAAAAGCGGAAAAGGGAGGAGGTTGGCTATGAGAACTGTCTAGACTAGCTTTAATTCCGAAGACACACTTGAAAAATTGAATGGATTTTTTTAAAGGACTTAGAAAGTACTCCTTCTGATACTTATTAGAAATGCCTTTTATATTGTCAAAAATTTACTGAAGCCTTTTTCACATCAATGAAGTGATTCCCTACTGTCTTTTCTAGCCGCAATTACAGTTCATTTTTCCAGCTTTTCTTTGGAGTCTGGGCTCCTGCAGCGCTCAAGCCAAATTTACTAATGCTGTTTTGAGCTCCTCAGACCTCTTCTCTTTTCTTTTTCACCACAATTTATTTGCTTCGTTCGTATGTACCCATCTTGGCATCTTATAATCATATTTTATGGCTCAGGGAAACTTCTCTTTTTCTACTTAAATATAAGAAATACTTCTTGAGTGTTTACTGTGTGCTACCACTCTGCTAGATGCTATAGGCAAGTCAGAAGAATGCCTAAAACCATTTCTTTCTCCTAAATCTTTAGATTCCAGGTAGAGAAATAGCATAGGTCCAGGTTAAAGAGATACAAAGCTATTCACTATAGTAGCTAAGTAGAGAACAAAATCTACAGCTTATTCTAGATATATAAATTACATTAAATGCCATTTTAGGTTGAGGAATAGTATGTGAATGTATCCTTGTTTAATATATATCCATATACTTTCTGTTCATTTGTTAGGTTATTCATTTATTTTGTAAACATTTTAGATTATCCTCAGAGAGATTTTCTTATGAATACTTGATGTAAATTTTATATGCATTTTTTTGAATGATCTTACCTTTAACTACACTAATGTATCAAGAGCTAAAAGAATGTGATGAAGACTTTTAACCCAGAGCAGTGATGACAGCTATCTATCAGGATTAATTGGGCAGGCTCAAAACATACATCTTGGGTCACACTTTCCCACACATATGGAATCAGAATTTCAATAAATATCCCAGGTAAAATAACTGCTAGAGAGTTAGTTAAGTGATTCTGACACCTAGAAACTTACAATCATTATTATGTAAGCTAGATTCATACTTTCATATTAGGTAAGCTTGTTCATACTTTCATCACTATTAATGTTTTCTGCTTTTGAATTGTTGATTGTTGTTGCATATGCCATGGAGACGGTTCGGACTCACAGCGACCCTGTACAGGGTTTCCGAGGCTGTAAATCTTTACGGGAGCAGAAAGCCTGATCTCTCTCCCACGGAACAGCTGGTAGTTTTGAACTGCTGACTGTGAGATTAGCAGCCCGATTTGTAACCACTACGCTACCAGAGCTCCTGAATTGTTGATTAAAGAAGTGAAAATTTGATGTTTAGCTAAGGTTTTATCATCGCCTCCCAAACTGGTTTTGGCAGTAATATATATAGTAATGTAAGTATGTGAGAATGCAGTTGTAACCAATTCTCTGCTATTTGATAGCCATAGGAATTCTTGGTGTGGAAAATAAAGAAGAGAATATAACATTTTTTTTTTTAAGTTTTTATTGTAAATTGAGTGATAGTTTACATGGGAGAACATTGGTTTTACACTCATAATTTCATTGCAATGATTACAGTCTCCTCTGTACAACATCATTCAACAGTATTTGCTTCTATTCCCTCTGTTTTTTTCGGGGGGAGCAATGGGGGGGATGGGGATGTGCACAAAAACACTCAGGAATATATAATCATTTAAACAACCAAAGGGCACATTCTGCAAGACTGCCTCCTGGCCATCAGCACATGGCCACCAGCACACAGCCTTTCTCATTCCATGAAGCTAGAGTCCTCATGTGCTCTATTTCTCCATGCCATCATCTCTGTCTCCATCTCTGGTGTTGCTGCTTCTCTGGATAGGGTCCCACATTCTACTCGTGCTCTTCTCCCTTGATGGTCCTAGGGTCCTCTGTTCCTGGCCTGTAAGATTAACTACTTCCCCCTTTTAACAAAGCTTCTACCTTTACAGTTGTGACAGTTGCAATTAGCCACGATAACAATTAACTTGCTATTGAATCATAAGAATCTTATCCCCATTTATTTTCACCAGACCCATCTAGACAAGATGAATACTGTTCAGTGGGGATTCTACCTTCCCCCACATAAAGAGTGTATATGACTTTTTATATTTGACTTTGAAATTATTTTGTTGGTTTTCTGACTCCTCTTGTTGTGTTGTTGTTATGTGCCGTGGAGTCGGTTCCGACTCCTAACGACCCTGTACAGGGTTTCTGAGGCTGTAAATCTTTACGGGAGCAGAAAGCCTGATCTTTCTCCTGCGGAACAGCTGGTAGTTTCAAACTGCTGACCCTGCGGTTCACAGTCCGATTTGTAACCACTACGCTACCAGAGTCTCCTCTTAGAACTATTTAAAATTTTTCTTAAATTAACAATTTAATTAACATAAACTGCAGAGCTAAGAAAAGTCTGTTTAAAACAAAGGAAATCAGTCTGAGGTTTAAGAGTGCAACCGATATTTCACATTTATTTAATGAGGAATTAGATTGCTAAAATAGTATAAAGTGCTGAGACTTTTCCAAGTCTATGTAAGAAGATCTTGCTGTAACCTCACTTTTAAAATCTTTTACCCTTACTATGTATCATCTTCTAGAGCTATGAAAAAAAATGGAGTAGCACTATTTATTTTACCTACTGCACAGAGTTCTTTTTTGTTGTTGATTTTTTTTTTTTTTAATTTTAATTTAAGGTTTTTGTTGTGGATTGAGTGAAAGTTTACAGGGCACATCATCAGTTTCACATTCAACAATTCATATAACTTGTTTCATTACATTGATTA